ATAACGTCACACATCATGGTGGGATTTCTTTGAGATACGTTAAATGAGTTGACAGCAACGCCGTCGTCAATCGGAGAAAAATGCTATGAGTGGGGTTGTCTGCCTCAAAAACCTCTCAAGGATATGTACTGCCCAGCTCAAACTGATTCACCTCCGTCCTCGATTTCATTTTTAGATCCTACAAGAGCAAAATTTAACCAGGCCAGATGTAGAGTGTTTCTTTGCGTGGAGTCGTGGACGCTATGTAGTGATCAGTATAAAGCCAGTGACCACATAGATTAACGTGTTAATCGTATCCTCATGAGGAGAGTGACGGTGGTCAAATGACTCCGGCTCGACGGTTTCCCGCTCTTCACCTATCCGTGACTTTCCAAGACACCCTGGACAATGAGTCGTCATTCGCAGCGGACTCTCTGGCTCCATGTAGCTTGGTCTCAGTCAAGGCAAACCGTGTCCGACTCGAGATGAGCCTTGACAATGTCTAGTGGGGATATGTGATCATGGCAAACGGAGCCCACAGGTTACACTCCAGTGCACAGAGCAAGCGTGGTGCTTGGTAGGAGCTTTCCACAATATAAATAGCTATCCTCTAACCCCATTTTGCTTTTTCCTCATCACCCTCCTCCAGTCATTTCCAGCCTCACAATCTCGAACAATCAACCTAACCCAACACACACATACACCACCACAGTCACCCACTCGACTCCACACACCATGCGTTGCACCATCGCCATCGCGCTTTCTGTCGCTCTCCTCAACTCTGTCTCCGCTGAGACCGTCTCACCAAGAGGGCTGGACGGCCTTCTGGGAGGCCTTCCAATCGACGGATTGGCTGGCGGTTCGTCAGGTAACGGCGGTCAACTCGACTGCGTCAAGCAGAACGCACTTCTGAACGTGAACGCTCTGGCTTCCGTTCACTGCACCAACAACAACGGTGGTGGTTCCGGCCCCACCGAGTCCTTTTCACGAAGAGGCTTGGACGGCATCCTCGGCGGCCTTCCCATCAACGGTTTGCTTGGCGGCGGCTCGGGCGGTGATGGTGGCAAGCTCGACTGCGTCTCCCAGAATGGACTGCTCTTGAGCGCCAACGTGTTGGCTAAAGCTGACTGCACCAACAACGCCGGCGGTGGTGGTCAACAAATGGGCTGCGGTCAATCGAGTGGCGGCTACTCCTCCGATTCCACTACCGCCGATTGCGCCAGCTACTGATTCCCTTCGCATGTCTAGGTATGTTCACTCGCTTCAACGTTTGACCATTGCTTCAAAATTTACTAAGTTTTCCTCCGGCCCTCACTGCTCTAGTCGGACATTGCATGGTGCTATCTGGATCCCCGGCTCCTTCTCATCCACGCAGATTCTCTTATTTTTCCCTGGCGCTTGTTCCACAATTGTATCCTATTCCATCTCTTCACTCAGATACTTAGACTAGAGTTGGCTCTTGTGCTTGCTTCGCACTTCTTCTCCCCTTGTATCCTGTAGCTCTCTTTTCTCCGCATCACTTTCTTTAATCAAATCATCCACGTTTACTCCGCACATTTTCATTTATTTGATTTCACCCGAGGAGTTCTCCACATGCAAGTCGCACTCCAATCTGCGAGTTCTCTGGAACATGCTTCGTTAAGTTGTCTCATTTTAAAGAGTCCCGCTTGAAGGAAGAAACATGCAACTAACGCATCCGACGGCAAAAAAAAAAAAAATGGGTACATCACGTTCTGTTTCCTTTGATCCTGATTTATTGACTTGAGTTGAAGCATCTCAACCTGCGTGAGTGTACTTCCAACTGGCGCCACTCCAGTAACGTCACAGCAAAGTGGCCAGAGCTCAAATGTCATCTGTTTCATTCCACTGGGATTCCCAGGGGAGACTGCCATTGGACTTGGAATGTTCCAGCCCATTTCTTCCCCGTACGAGATCGTAAGCATGATCTAGATTTGATCATTCTTTTTCGTCTTTTGACCTGAAGTGAAACAACTCAAGTCAACCCCAAGAAGAGAGTCAAGCACCGAGCGGTGGTGTGTTCATCAAGTGAGCTGTTCCATCAAGCTATAGGTTTAAATGATAATAAGTTGAAGGGGGGGGGCAGGTTTTCTCAGACAAGCGCAGCTTGATGTAAGCTGAAAAAGGCGTGATTGTGTGGAAAGAAGTTAAGAGCATTGTGACCAGAACTAAAAAAAGTTATGCTCATACTTAGGTTAAGTTCAAAATAATAAAATTAAATAACGTTATAGAGTAATGTCTTCCCCCTGCTTTTCGTCCCACAAGTAAAAATAGAAAAAAAAAACAGCGATGGATGGGGTTCCCAGTGCTTATTGTCCATCCAAGGGGCCGCTCGAAGCATGTGCCAAACGAGCCTATGCACAATGAAAAACAATGCGCTTTCATCAGCATTTCTGAACAGATCATATAAAGAAAACACATGACCTAGTAGGGTGAGATTAAGGAGTAAAGACGAACCTCCATATTTCGAAGACTCTCTTCTTTAGCCAAGAGTTCTTGACGTTTCTCGCTAATCTCGCGTTGGACACGTAGCTCGATCTCCTTCAACTTCTCTTCCTCCTTCTTCAACTGTTCTTCCTTCAATCTGAAGGATTGATTGGCCATGTCTTCAGGTTGGATCGATTGATCTAATTGGTCAGCATCCCCTCTACTCAAGGTTTGAGTTCTGTAGTTCTCGTATAAGAACTGTTCACCACATTATTCCACACAGGCACAATCACCGAATAAGTCAGAATCAAAAGAGACCGGTAACTCCCCCCCCCCCAGAAAAAAAGGGACATACATCATGGGTGATTTCTTTGAGATCTGTTAAATGAGTGGATAATAAGGCTGTCCTCAATCGGAGAAAATCGCTATGAGCGGGGTTGTCTACCTCAACGACCCCCCAAGGATATTCCCGAGCTCGGACCAATTCACCTCCGACTTCGATTTCATTCTCAGATCCTACAAGTGCAAAAGGCAACAAGGCCTGGTTTAGGAAATTTGTTTTGTGTTTTGGGAAGGATGGGAAAAACGCGGGGATGTCAGCGATCAGTAAAGCGGATGTTAAGGTGTTGATCGTACCCTGAGCTCTGAGTTTTCAGCCACTACTTCATCATCATCTTCTTCAGCATCAAACGGAAAGTTATAAATCGGTATCGAATAGTGCTCGATGTCTTGCATGATCTATCAGGAAAAAAACATACGAGTCAATTTGTTATTTTTTTCTTATCAAAAATCAGTCGCTTATATCGACAAGGGCGGGTCTTAAGGATGTATCTGCTCACTCTATCTTTGAAGCTTTTTAATTCACTGGGAGTAAGGGTATCCGCTTTTCCGATCACCGGTATGACGTTGACTCGAGGAGATAAGCGTCTCATCAACTCGATATCCATTTCCCTCAAACTGTATATGAGAAAGGCAGTCAGCTAATAATTAGATTATTTGAAAAGTCGGGAGCGCATGCCTATGACCGGTGGGAGCGATGAAGTAGAGCAAGGCATGGATCCGTTGATCTTCGAATCTCGGGTTACGTTTGATTCGAGATTCCTCGGCAAGGATATCGTCGTACTGTTTCTCGAGATAGCCGATGATCGTCGAGAATGCCGATTCGTTATCGATGTTGTCGCCGAACCCGGGCGCATCACAAACGGTGAGACGGATGGTCACGCCATCCTCGTCCAGCTCGATCGTCTTCTTCTCCACCTTGATGTGAGAAGTACCTTCTATCGAAAAACAACAAAGGGGAAACAAAACAAAACCCGAATCAAAGTTGGTGTGGTCGATCTCACACAGCGGAAATGACAGCGGAGCGATTGGATGAGAGCTTACCAGCAGCCGCGATCGGGTCGCTCGAATCGGCATGCGGTAACCAGCCCTTCTGGTCGACTAAAGTGTTGACAAAGGTCGTCCGACCTGTACCAGAGGCCCCGACGACCTAAAGAAGTCGATCGGCGTGAGCTAAGCCGGTTATACTTAACTATCGACTAGTGGAAGGCCAGACTTACCATCAAGGTCTGTTGTTCATGTTGTGATCGAAATCAAAAAAGTTTATGTAAGTGTGGTTGTTTGAACAAGAGTTCTGTTCAAGTTTGTACTCACAAATCCGAGTCCCTTCTTGACTGATTTTTTGCGTCTCGCAGGTCCTGGAGGCATCTTTTCTTTTTTGTTTTCGTCAAGTGGATCGATAAGGGATGGGGACTGATGGGGATGAGGGATGATGATGATGATGGTGGTTTGGCTGAAGGACTGGTTCCAGGAAAGGGGTGCAGCCTCCACAGCACCCTGTCGTCATCCAATCAGCCAACAACAGAGTTTGGCAAAAGTTTAAAATATTCTACAATCTTAACATCACCGTGTCGATCCTGTTAGGCTAAACTAAGATAGTAATTTACAACAATCGATGACCTTTCTCTTTGAGATAAGTATCGGTGATCCATTGCACACAGATTGAGAGATTACGTACAGTCATAACCAATCCCAACATCAAAAATAAAGCATTGAAATTGAAGACACCACCATCATCATGTCCTCTGAGAGTGGGCTTATCTTTTTTTGGCTAGAGCCACTGTCCTGTGGGAAGGCAGGAGAAGGAAAATTCAATGAGATCTGTTTACAGATAACAGTGATGATAGGAATATAAACAATGACTCCATCCACATTGGAGAACTTCCCATCACCATTTAGAATGATTTTTAGACCTCTTCAAGTCCTAAATGAACAATGCAACCAAAATTACAACTGGCTTACATGAGAGCCATTGCTAGAAGGGTTCTGAAAACATCATTTTTTCAACCAGAAATTTAGATCTGAGGGGTGTAAACTGACTTCTGGGAGGTTTGTAGATTGCAAAGTGAAGTCATACATTGTTTCCAGTAGAACTCAGTTTGATTTGTTGATCCCAATTAAAAAAATGCATCTGGCCCTAATCAATAAGTAATTATGATGTGAGTCCAAAATTTAGGCTCCATTTGGCCACAAATCATGATATGTGATTTGGCTGTGGTTTGGTGTGGATTCAGACCTTGTGATATAATACAATACAAAATTTTTCCACAAACTCATGCCAAACCTTGTCTCCAAATTACAAATTAGGTTCAGCCAAACAGGGCTTTATATTCTTGAAGAATGAGTTTCCCTGGCTGCTCAGAGATTTGTGGAGATTTCTAATCAACCAGAACTAAATCAAAGAAAAAAAAAGAAATCTTGAAATTTCAAGCAGATAGATAGTTTTGGTCCCAAAATATAAAGGATCTTGGCAATGTTCACCAGGAAAAAAAATCAGGAACCTCTATGGACAGCGGTGGGCCGCTACGCTTTTGGCCCAAAAAGCGTAGCGTAGCAGCACTTTTTTTTCATCCAAAAACCGTAGTGTTAGCGGTTTTTCGCTGCGCTACAGCGCTTTTAGCGGAACAAGCGGCCCAAAACCGCTAAAAACGGCTGTAGCGCAGCGTAGTGGGCCCTTTTTTGCGGCCCACACGCGTAGCGTTAGCGGTGTCGTGGTGGAATTCCGCTATGCTACGCTAATCACTAACAGCAATTCCGCTGCGTTACGCTACACTAACCGCTACGGTTAGTGTAGCGGCCCACCGTTGCTATGGAGGTGGTTTCTTTGTATTCATGACTTATTCCAGCTCTATCCTTCATGTATCCTTGGTGTGCACCTATGTTATTTACCTTCCTATATGATATATATTGATCCCTTTCAATGGTGTAGTCACTTCAATTTGATTATTAGGAGGAAAAGGTGTACTGGTAGTGAAAAGTCTCTCTCTCTGTTAGGATTGCATGATACAACTTGAAGTCACATTCAAAGAATATATATTTCATTTTAAAAGCTCTTTGGCTGGGTTGCACCAGATGCCATGAGTGTGGTGAATACGGTCTTTGAACAGAATCACTGCTAGGGGAACAGCAAATGGTGGGACAATTTGGACTAATCTGAACTGTTATCCCTTGACTAATCTTGGGCCATGATTTTGATTTTGGATGGCTCTAAATTTTGATTCCTGCATTCTCAACTCCTCTGGGGGTATTTGACCTAAGAAAATGATTTGGTGAAGTGTTAGAATGACTCAACTTTTTTTGGATGTTGCATGTCCAGGTTTTTGTTTATATTCCCACATAAATAATTACTTAGTATTTTGTTGTGGAATTTTCATGTTTTTGTTGTTTTTCTCTCTTGTTATGCCCAACAAATTTGCAAGAACATATTTAGCTATACCCTACACAGAAGGTTGAAAAAATAATCACCCAATGTTGTTGCAGATTGTACAGTTCCTGCTTGTCTCCTGGGCTCTGGGAGGCAATTGCTTTTTCTTTCAAGTGGTAATGGACATCACAGAAAGGAGTAATCAGGATGTTTTGAAGGCCATATCCAGCCTCGGCAAGCAGGTACTTGTTACCTGGTAGCACAAGCCCCTTGGAATAGAAATCGATATAGACTTGGATGTTGTGTGCACTACCCTCCCACCCAGCAAGGACAAATATGAATTCAAAACAAAAATTCACTGCCTCCAGGACATTCTGAGCAACATATCCCTTGTGACATCTCCAGGATGGCTTTTTTTTTGATGGGACTTGAGCCTTGATGAGAACCCCATCTACCGCACCAACAGTATTTTTGAATGCTGCAAACTTGGGGTCATCTTTAATATGGGGAGGTTGGGTGCACATTTGAGGGGTGAGTTTAACATATTTTGGGTAGATTATGATGAGAGCCTCCAGGAGTTTGTTGAAGTAACTGCAAGTATTGGTAGGGTAGGTTATTTTAGCTGTTGGGCTGGCAGGCAAAAAGTGAGCAAACACGCTTACCGGTTGACGGTGAAAAAAAATTTGATGGCAGTCTTGCGCATTGGGTTGTTGTATCTGACAATGTTGAGGAACATCAACAGTTGATCCTCAATGGTGACAGATTGACCATTGGCAAGAAGTCCATCTTCCCTGAGCTCTTTGTCAAGAGCATCAAAGGTGGTGCAATTCATCAAGGTTATCTCATGGAAGAGTTTTTCCTGGGAAAACTCCAAGACAAATATCATGTATGCTCTACGCCCACCATTGCTGTAATAAGGAAGGCCTTCCTTCCACTGGTTTGCAAGGAGGAGTATGGCAATACTTGCCGCAATAATGGCTGTAAAGATGTTGGGATCCTTTTTTTTGTGTTGACTGGGTGAGTTGAGTTGGGATATGTGGTCTGTGTGGGGTGGGAGAGCCTAGTGACTTGTTTGGGGAGGAAGTTGGGGTTGATGATGGGTGTCTTGCATATACAACTGGACCTTGATAAGGTGGTGATGGGGTTGTATCATGGTTTTGGGGGGGTGAGCCAGGGTGGTGGTAGGGAGGGAGATCTCATAGGATGGCAGTACACGATTTGGTGTTTCCGGATTTGCAGTGGCAACCCAGAAATTGTTTTTGGAACATGAAAAATGAAAAGGGTGAAATGAGAAATGGGAAATTGACCTGGTGCTATGGTACGGGCCCTTACCCAATCTCTGCTCCTGCAGTTAAGCACAAGGTCAGTTTCCACTGCATAGTGACTGTGCCAATTCATGCACAGTCACTTTTCAAAAACTTACAGGCCCAATAATGGGGCAAGCTTCATCTGGAGGGTCATTGATGTCACTTGCTAGTAAGAGACATCACAGCTTTCATGGTGTAACCTGTGCATTAGCGCAGATTAGTCATAGGCAATTTTTTGTGGTCTGTGCAAGTAGTGTTAGCACAGAGTCAATGGAATTCCACTGCACTAACATTATGGTTATACAGCTAAACCAAAAAAGCTTGCGGGCTGTCAAGTCGGAATATCCAAAAAAAAAACTGCAATTGGAATGTTAGGAAGAATACAGACCGGAATACAGGTTGCCATA